AGTGAGAAAAGATGTAAAACTTGAGACAAGGCCTTTGGGGGGGAAACTGCTAACAATTCACCAATTTAAAGAGAAATGCTGGAAACAAAGCTGGAGGTCATAAGGGACCTTGAATGTCAGGTTAAGGGGCTCGAACTTAACTTCCCACCAGAAAGCTTACATTTGTAATTTGTAAACTGGCCTTGGGTGAAGAATTTTTTTTCTTTTTTGGTGGGGGGTGGATACAAATCTACAAGCTAGTTGATTAGTTAGGAGAATGAGGAAATAAAGTAGGTGAGAAAGAATAAGGACAGGCCCGGCAGCGCTGCACATCTTTAATCCCAGCACTTGGGAGGCAGAGGCAGGCACATCTCTGTGAGTTCAGGGCTAGCCTGGTCTACAAGAGCTAGTTCCAGGACAGGATCCAAAGCTACAGAGAAACCCTGTTTCAGGAAAAATAAATAAACAAATAAGTAAATAAAAGGAAAAGAGAAAAAAAACCGCTTTTAAAAAAGAAAGAAAAAGAAAAAAAAAACCAATAAGGAACAGAGCTCAGTTCTTCCTCAAGAGAGTAGAGAAGACAATTTGAAGATGCATGTGGAGAACAGGCAAGGCGTATCAAAAGGATGTGAGAGATAAACAAAGAGAAGCCCAAAGCATCTTTCTGCTTTCCAGATGCCCGGCCACAAACGTTCTCGTCCAATAGACCACTGAAAAGCTCACGGGTGAGATCTGAGCTAGAAATATGCGCTTGGGGGTCTGGAGTGTGGAGAAAGCATTTAGAACTATGGGACGAGAGTGCGGTGATCCTAAAAGATAGATGGGATCCTAAGGAGGGGCCACATCTTAAAGGCGGACTGCGGGGGAAGACCATGAAGTTATAGTTAAACAGAATCAGGAAGCTATAAGGAGAGCAGGGTGCGATGGCCTGTAATCCCAGCACTTGGCAGCCTGGGGAAGGAGGATGGTGGAGTCTAGCCTGAGCTATGTGGTGGGACACACAAAGGAGAGGAAGTCATGAAGAGCTTTCCTACATAGTACATTGAGCCAGGCAGTGGTGGTGCACGCCATTAATCCCAGCACTGGGGAGGCAGAGGCAGGCGGATCTTTGTGAATTCAAGGCCAGCCTGGTCTACAGAGTGAATTCCAGGACAGCCAGGGCTACCCAGAGAAACCCTGACTCGAAACAAACAAACAAACAAAAAACCAAAACAAAAGCAAAAAAATATGGTCCATTGAATTTGAAGAGAGAGAAATTAGGACTGCCGAAAGGTAGCCTATATTTCCTGGAAAACTGTGGCTGGGTTTAGTGATAATGCCACTTAAAGAGGCATAGCAGGACTGCTAACCTGGAAACCAGAGTGGGGGTGGAGACAGGAATGGGAAATTAAGAAGTGATGTCAGACCATAATCCATAGCTTGCTTGTTCAGGAACTATACATAAAGACAGCCTAAGTGGCTAGGCCTTCCCACTCAGAGAGTTCTAATCATACGGCAAGGAAGGCCTGACAATATGACATTTGTGTTCAGGAAAGATTAGATAAAAGAGTCTTGTCGTGTGGTACCAAGTCTAAGGTTTTGCTTAGTCATTCTTCCTTGGCGATATCATTTTCTTTCATTTCTTTCTTCTTGTGTGTTTCATGCTGGAAATGATTTAGGCACTGAATTTCCTGTAGATGCCTTCAGATTCCATTTTGAAAGACTGGCTCAAGCCACTTCTTGCTTTGCTCATTAAAAAAACAATAGCTGTTATTTACATAGCAATCAGGATTCCATCAAGAAATGCTATGTGCACTAAAAAAACAAAACAAGAAATGCTGTGTGCATAAGTCTGTCCTGATGTTGTTCTAGTGGTAGAATAACAAAGTTGTGATCTTGTTTCCCCTCCCCAAAATGTAATGTTGTTGAACAAAGTTGTAACAGATGGGGGGAGCTGGGGTTCCAGAATCAAAGACTGAACTTTGTATTTTGTGGCACTTGGGAAATTTTACTGAATGACTAGCTAGTTATTTCATGGGCCCTCACACACTTGACATGATTGTCCAGGAAGGCACTGAAGAAGCAAACACTCTCAAAAGACGAATTGAAAGGTTTCTCGGGTAGCTTCAGCGATATTCAATGGCACACAGGAGAAAGCTGACACAGTTAACTCACACCCGGCTCACAGGCTCTTGCATCAGTGTAAGATCTTAAGCTGTTTCATGCTTGCTTCCAAAACCTTGCACTGTCCTTACTCAGTACTCCTCCTTTCTTACCTTGTCTCTCATTTTTGATGGCTGAGTACTTGGTCATTCAAAACAGAAAAGACTTGGAGTCTCTGGTATGTTTGAGACAGAGGCCGTGCTTAAGGGGTTCAAGTGTCTGCAATTCCGTGGTAGAAATATGAAGAAGGAAATGTTATCCAAGATGTCACACAAATGTTGACCATGAAGAGTGCAGGTATCTCTTCAGTATATAACTTTCAACGCTCAGATATATACACAGAAGTAGGATATTTATGGAAATGATCATATTCGTAATTCTATGTTTAGTCTTACATAGCCCAACTGGATCCAAACTCACGCTGATCCTCCTGCTTCGGTCTTTCTTCTTTTTCCTCCTTTCTTCTTTCCTTTCCTTTTTCTTTTCTTTTCTTTTCTTTTTTTAGACAGGGCTCTCACTGTGTAGCTCTGGCTATTCTGGAACTATGTAGCTCGGGCTGGTCCTGAACTCAAAGAGGACCTACCTCTACTGGAACTAAAGGAATTGAATACCAGTATGGCCGACTTTATTAGTCATTTTTTGTTGTTTGCTTGGGACTTTTTAAAATTGTGTGGTGTTGGTGGGGTGGGCTGGATTGGGGGGGTGGGAGTGGGGTGGTTCTGGTCAGGGTTTCTCTGTGTAACAGAGCCCCAACTGTTCTGGAATTCACTCTGTAGACCAGGCTGGCCTCAAACTCAGAGATCTGTCTGACTCTGCTTCCCAAGTGCTTGGATTAAAGGTATGGCTGAGCCTGGAATTCTAAACGTAGATTAGGCTGACCCTAAACTTGTGTTGGGACTCTATTTTGGGCCACTCAACTTTTTGATAATATTCCAAGAGGTATGAGTAGGCACCTCATTGTGGCTCTAATTTATGCTTTCCTGATGGTTAGTGGTGCTGAGGACCTCCACATGAACTTCTTTTCCACAGTAACCAGCCTTTGGGAGAAGGACTGCTCAGCTCCTTTTCCCATATTATTATACTTGTTATGGAGCTGAGTCCTTTATATTCCCATATTTATTGAAGCATTACACACAGTAGCTAGGAGTAGTATAGTGTCCATCAGTGGATGAACACACATGTAGTTCACATGTGTGTACGACCCCACAGAGCGCTGTGCAGGCTTATAAGGAAGGGGATGCTGGGACACAGCTGCAACATAGCTGTAGCCGGAGATCACCATGCTAAGTGGAATGAGGCAAGTGCAGATGGAGAACTGTGTGATCTCACTGTGTGAAATTTTAAAATCTAATCTCATGGTATTTGTAGGAAAGTGGTACCCAGAGGCTGGTGGGGGCAGAGGAAGGCTGGGGAAAGGAGAGTTGGTCTAAAGGTACAAAGTTACAGCTAGAATTCGGAAGCTTTACTAACTATAGCATTATGTGGCGACTACAGTTTATATACCATGTATTTTGAGGGTACAAACTGATTTTTTTCAAACGTTCTCATAAGAAAAAGCTAATCTGTCGAGGTGATGGATATATCCATCTGACTGATTCTTCCGACAAGGCGCATATAGGTCAAAAACATCATATTGTACCCCACTAATACACATGCTTATTAATGAATTAAAAATAAAATTGAAAAGTTGTAATGACACTACTAGCTTTTAATCTCAGCACTAGGGAGGCAGAGATAGGTTGATCTCTGTGTGATTGAGGCCAGACTGGTCTACACAGCAAGTTCCAGATCAGTCAGGAATACACAGTGAGACTCTTTATCAAAATAACCCCCCCCAAGCAAAACAAAGTAACAAAGAATGAAAATATGATATTGTCATTTCCATGGGTGTCCTCCATACACAGGGGCTGGGCCTTATGCATCTTTGTACCTCCAATGTCAAGCTCAGCTTTGCAAATTATATTGAATTGAAACTCACTTGGAATCTGAAACTGTGTGAAAAGGACACCAGGTAAACCACTTTAAAAACAGAGACCGCGTCCCGCGGTGGTGGTGCTCTGGGAGCTGGTGGTGAGGCACTAGGATTGCAGAGCACGAGTTCAAGGTCAGCCTGGGGTTTAGAGTGAATTGCAGGACAGACTTCAAAGCTCCACCGAGAAACCAACGTCAGGAAAGACAACAAAACAAACAAAAACAAACAAACAAACAAACAAAAATAGGGTGGGGGGAGAATGTGCTCTGACTCTAGAAAAGGTAAGTATGAATTGCATTATAGATAAAATTCCAGATAAGCAAGGAGGCCATACTATCTTAGTATGTGTGCTAGGCATGCTATAGTTAGCCGGCTCAGCAGTGTTTCCACTGCCTGGCTCCTGTCCTTGTTAACACTGGTTGTTCCCATTTCCACTTAGGAAACGAAAGGGTGGTCTGTACCTTACTGTGCCGTGAAATGTGCAGAGTTCACAGAAAACACACTATTTTATGAATAAATCTGAAGTTGAGTCCACGTTGGGCTAACATCTTCCCTCTACTGGCTTAATAAAAATATTTATCATCTATTTATAATAAGGTCTAACTCTATAGCCCAGGCAGTTCCCTTAGTACGTAGCTCAGGTTGTCTTAGAAATTGAGCAATCCTCCTGCTGCAGCCTCTGGAGTGCTGGGATTATAGGTGTAAACCACGACGCTCATTCTGAAACCAATTTCACCTGTTCCCTACTTGGCACAGCCACTAGAAAATTCTAAATCTTTTGTGCAGCTGGGCCCTCCAAGCTGAACTCCAACATCCTTTTGGCTTTAGGCAGCCGGAGCACGACGGACACGTAAACTCAGGCTCGATTTCCTCGTAGTGACAAGGGGCTGGGTGGGGCAGGGCAGCGATGACCGGGAGCAGTGGCTCCGGGGAGGCCCCGACCCCGGAAGGACAGCGTCTCCGCGCGGGTGGAGCTTGCAGGCCAGGTGTCCCGTAGGCGGGTGCGTGAGC